ATCATTTTTTAATCCACGTTTAATATATGATGAGACAACTATTGCTCATTGCATATGTTGTTTAAGTTGTGGAGCGACACCTTTCTATGTAATTATTAGATTTTGAACCTAATTTGATTGGAATACTTAAGCAATTTTGGGCATGACTGACATTTTTACATGTAATCCAACCTTTTAATTTCTAGCTCAAAAAGGAATTATTCTCAAAAAGGTGTAAATTTATACACAAGGATATTATTATTTGCATAAAGAATTTCCTTAAGATGTCCTAAAAATTTATTTGTTTCTGTTGATAAAGATGATATTTTATTTATCAAAAGAAAATAAAATATTATTTTGTATAATTTGTGGTTTCTACAAGAAGCATTTTATTTTGAAAGTAATTTCTTATTTATTTATTTATTTTGGAATTCAATTATGTATGAGCTCAATTACATTGTCACCTTGTTCCTGAGATCCTCTGCTAACATACCCAATTCCTAATAGCAGAGGTTTAGGGGATCTCTCCGAGGAAGGCAACAAGATTTAGACAGTACTGTAATTGACGTATAATAAAAGGATGCAGAAAGAACTTGCAGTCCATTGTTCTGGAATTTAGAGAATAAGTTATCAATTTTATATGTAGCAAAGGCCAGTGATTTCCATATAGCGTCCAAAGTCGAAAGGAGAGACTATTTTATAGGGCTATATTTTCATAAAATATTTTATAAAATATTTTATTTATTTATGATCAAATATAAAAGTTTATTTTTAGTGTCATGGAAAATAAATCATTTTCACTACTTATGATTATACGTATCTATCTCGAGTTATTAATTTGGGCATCAAAAGGGTCGAGTCGAAAAACCTCTCTCGACCTCGATCTTTGTGTAAGTGGCACATCGGAGCCTTAACATTTTCACATAAAAGACACATTGAGTAATCTTGCGCACACGGGTCTAGATCACATTTGGTTGACTAGAACGTCAATGATATCTTCTTATAATATTTTTAGTACTAGAAGGACACTCGCCGACGAGAGCACAAAGGTCGAGAAACTCGACCACCATCACTATTAAGCCACGGAGTATCTACATACACTTTTACAATTCTTGCAACTTGTTGGTGAAGGACTTGCTAGTCGGTATAGAAGACTTGGGCTTAAGATGAGCTTTCTTAGAGTTCTTTTTGTTGACCTCCTTAAGCAGAGATGAGGATTTACTAATGGAGATGTTAATGTGGCTGGACGATAAGTTTTTCAAGTGTCTTCTGACTCTTCCCCTTCTATCGAACAATTATGATTACTATAGATGAGTGGAAGGGAATAGAAAAAAGAGAGACAAAGAGAAACCCATGCCCTGACCTTGGCATGACTCTAGTTGGTTATGCCAACTCTCTTCTTTGCCACTCCACCATCCTTCCTCTGCATAGTGCCAGTGTCAGATAAGTTAATAGCAGCACTTTGGGACTTCTTCAGAAGAGATCCCGAAGCATACTTTCGGTGAAACAAATTATAGAAAGAGCATTATCGATTAATCATCATCTAACATATGACCTCTGCATGATATCCAAGATAAAAGGAGACAAAAGCTACCCTCAATTGGTTTGTCCACATGAACAAGGGTCCAAGTTAGGCGGTTATAAGTTATCTCACAATTGTTATCCATATATTGTTAAAAGTGGTTGAGAGATATCTTCCTATAAAATATTTCATAGAATATTCTACCCCTTTATAATTAAATATAAAAACTCATTTTTAGCATAACGAAAAGGATATTATTTTTTATTACTTGCAACTATACACATCTATCTCAGGTTAATAATTTGCACGCCAAAGAAATTAGGTTAAGAAACCTCTCCTAACCTCGGTCTTTATGCAGGTGACACTTTAAGGCATCAGTATTTTTACTTCCGAGGCATCATAGATAATCTTTTGCATATGGATTTAGACTATATTATATTTTCAAAACGTTCATGACATCTTTCTATACGGACACAAGAATGATGAAAGTTCAATCAAGTTGAACTCAGAAACTCCACGAAGTCAACTGAACCATAGAAGTCTTCACATCAACAACTCGATCAATGATTTCACTAACATTACTTACCACTGTGTCTCGAAGGCCTAGCAATTTCCATGAGCATGCTTTTATCCAGTAAGAAAAATTCAGGTACTAGTAAAGATGCATAAGATGGAGTATCCGTTGAGATATAAATAACTAAAATCACAACGAGATTTATGTGGGCTAAGGAACTCAATAGTGTTAGGAAATTACTTTGGTTTATAAGTGGGCTAATTAGGAGATAGAATTGGACCTACAATTAATGGAAGAAGGCATTAAATCGAATCAAGTTCTTCTGAATGGTTGTACTGAACATGTAAGCATAAAAATCTATAATTATATTATATTAAATATAAAAATAACCTTTATACCAGGATTGAAATCAAATATATAGATCTCGTTTAACAATGTGTATCTTTTGATGTCATCTGTTTCAAATATTTCTGTTTGACCTGCAAGCACCGTTTTAATCCAAGATCGCTGTCGAATCTATAAGAAATAGATCCTTTCTCTCTCTTGTTGTAACTAATATAACCTAATTAATTATATTATATATCTTATCCAATTATAAAAAACCACAAAATTTAACGAAACAAACATAAAAGCAAATTTTTTTATGATAATTTATAGAATACTAAGTTTAGTTAGCAATGTTTAATTCACTCCAAACAAAAAAAGAAGTACAACATAGTAAATTATTTATTTTCTAACAAATGAAGTGACAATTAAGAATTTGCATCCTAACTATGGATGCTTTATGAAACAAAATCTGAGCACATTGATGAACAGATTAGATTTTTTTTCTTTTTATCTTTAGAATACTTCACTAGACTTCTTTGATAGGTGATAGATCCTATCATGTAAGTAACATTCTATGGCTCAGTGGATGCACTGACACGGAAATAAAGGGAGAGAACATATGCCCATCTTAGTAGGATCCCATCAACAAACTCTGCAATCAAAACACATATCTCATGGGCTGCTGTTGTTTAGGTCAGCCCGATCGAAGAAAAAAAGAACAATCTCTTTGGTTCTTTTTGATGGAATTGATCGAGTGGAAAGAGGAAGAGGTCAGAAGTTTCTAAAGTATCCCGTTAGATGGCAAATGAAAGGATTGTTAGGCATCGAGTAGCTCTGAAATTTAAATTTCCTCATCGACTGGAATCAGATACATGTGTTTCATGCCATGAAAAAAATAATGAGGCATCGAACAAGTGATGTGATTATTTTAGGATTCACTGGTCATCAATGTAGCGGTGTAATGAAACAATTTAAGGATTTGAAAGAAATGATTAGTTTGAATTTTTATTGATAATGAATAGGAATGTATATATAGAGATTATAAACTATGACAGTTATATAATTTTTTTCATTCAATATAATATAAAATATTCATCTAAATCATTTTATAATGTAGGAGATCATGTTTGGATCATAATCCTTATTATTGATAGAAACATGATAATATGTCGCTCGTAATGATAGAAACATGATATCATAGTTTTTATGATTTAGAATCATGATAACACATTATCAAAATAATGAGAGGATTATGATAATTTTATTATGATTTATTTTTCTCAATAATATCTTTCCTAATATGTTGCTCGTAAGATAGGACATATTAGGAGACATTGATCTTGGGCTGAAGTAAAAGGAATTGCTAGTGAAATAAAGGTTTGGTAAGAATATTTATAAGTTGATCAGAATATAAGACATGAGAGATACGTAACTCACTATTTTGAATTTTGTTACGAACAAAATGAAAATCGATAACTATGTGCTTCATTCGAGAGTGCAATATAAGAGTAACACATAGATATGTTACTCCAATATTGTCATAATATATAGATAGAGGATTAGAGAATTTAATAAATAGTTCATGCAACAATGATTGAATCCAACAAAGTTCAGTAATTGTAGAAGTAATCGCTCGACATTCAGCTTTGATATTAAAATAGAGCATTATTTCTTGAAACTCCAAGAGATTTGATTATGAATAAAAAATATGACATAAGCACCAGTAATATCCTGTAATCCTTATTATTTGCTCAATCGACATCTAAAAATGTATAAAGCAAC